CACCTACGACAACTGAGGAAGTTCAGGGTCTCTCCAAAGATCCTCAGGATTTTCTATACAGGCGCTGTGGAGAGCATCCTCACACAGAACATCACATCTTGGTTTGGGAACAGCTGTGTGAAGGACCAAAAAGCTCTCCAGAGAGTGATCCGTACAGCAGAACGCTGCTGCAGGATTGCTCTCCCCCCGCTTCAGGACACCTACACCAGGAGATGCCGGACTAGAGCAGCGCAGATACTGAAGATACGTGTCAGGTTACATTTCACTGTGTGTTATACTTGTATAACTATGCATGTGACAAATAAAGAACCTACCCTCTAGTGGAAGAGAATGTAATTATTCTGCCCGTTACTCACACCAGTCGCTTAGAGTACCCATCAGATGGTACCAGACAGGACACACCTGATCATTTGGGAAACATTGTTATGGAGTATCTGAGTATGACCAAAAAGTATTTGACCAAAAAGTCAGGCTATGTTGACAAACAGTTCTTACATCTGTAGCTGAACGTGCGTATCACCCATCTATTTTTAAAAAATAACAATAACTCTATAAGGAGAGCACTCTTCAAAGCGCACAGTTACAAAGGGGCTTCACAGGTTGGTTGAAAACATATTAAAGAGGTGTGCATATCCCAACAAAGATGCACTCGTGCATTCTCAATAAATATTTGCATAGAAACATTTGCTGTGATCCAATGATGGGGTGTGCAAGAAACAGCCTGCATACTCAGTCGACCTCACGGGATGATGAAGGAAGGCTGTTTCAAAGTTTATGCGCTGAACTCGAAATATGAGAGTGGAAGTGTCAAAAGGTTCTGATGCAGTGAAGCTGCTGGGTTAGTGTCTCACGTCAGCTATGAGCTTCTCCACGTCCAGCGTTTGAGTGCAGCCGGCTAAGAAAAGATATCTAGGAGGAGTTCAGGGGTCCCGAGCAGTAACCTTCTAACTATTATGATTTCTAAAACATGAAATAAACCTGTTCATCATCAAATTGCAATTTTGAATTTTAAGATGTTTAAGATGTTAAAATGTTTTATGGCCTTTTATTTAGACCTTGTAGCATTTTAGCATGTTTGAAATACATTTTTCAAATATTTTCCACACCTCCATACAACATAATTTGTAGGATTTCTATGTTAAAATAAGCACACAGTCATATACGTATTTGATGCTGTTAATAAAATATTGGTGAATAGGAGACATCATGTCAGTACTCACAGGCGTTTTCATTGGAAGGTTCAATCATCCTGTCAACCCTGCAGATACAAACAGAAGAGTTTGAGTAGAATAATCCATCTTTGCTTGAAGCTTCAGCTCAGCTTTATTAATGAAAAACAAAATTACATTTAAAAATTGATTTTTTTCTCTCCAGTCAGAAAGTTCTGCACAAAGGAGATCTTTGGTTTGTTGGGTTGCTCTACAATTTTATAGGATCTTTATCTAAACACAGCAGCAACAAAAAATACTGAATATTTATCAAACACATTTTTTAAATTGGTTCAGCTGAACTTAAAAATATGGACTTGAAGCTTGATTTGTCAGATCTGACCAGACTGACAAAAGACTAAAACTAAACTCATTTTCTGGGCTTGTTTTTCTTAATTTCAGGTAATGTATTAAACAATATCATCTCAATGAGTTTTTTCTAAAGTCAACTTTTTATTTTTATTTTAGTCAAACATTTTTTACATCTACTTTCAGCTTTCAGGTTAGTGTTATTTAACTAAAAAAAACTGCGACCCTCTACTGACCCCAGAGTCTCCAGTCTCCACTGTGGATTCTCCACAAGCTCAGACAGCTGCTTCAGATCCGATTCCTGCAGGTTGTTTCCTCTCAGGCGCAGCTCGCTCAGATAGGACGGGCTGGACTTTAGCGCTGAAGCCAGATACTCACAGCTGATCTCTGACAGACCACAGTACTCCAGTCTGAGTAAAAAGTAAAAGATTTAAGGTTATTGTACAAACTTATTCTTGAAATCATAGTTTCATCATCATTATTTGGGCGACCGTGGCTCAGGGGGTTGGGAAGCGTATCTGTAACCGGAAGGTCGCCAGTTCAATCCCTGGGCTCTCTGTCCTGGTCGTTGTGTCCTTGGGCAAGACACTTTACCCTACTGCCTACTGGTGTTGGCCAGAGGGGCCGATGGCGCGATATGGCAGCCTCGCTTCTGTCAGTCTGCCCCAGGGCAGCTGTGGCTACAACCGTAGCTTGCCTCCACCAGTGTGTGAATGCGAGAGTGAGTGAATAGTGGCATTGTAAAGCGCTTTGGGTGCCTTGAAAAGCGCTATATAAATCCAATCCATTATTGTTTATTGTTTACTTTTATTAAACATGCCTGTGGCCACAGATTGACATGTTTTTATTCTTTTATAGCCAACCTTTTTATCTCCAACTTTAACAATTAAGACTCCATTATGAAGAACCACAGTGTGGGTCAGTATATCAGTCTTATGTCTGCAGGTCAGTGGAAAACAAAACTTGAAAACATGGTGACTGACCTCAGAGTTTCCAGTCTGCACTGTGGACTATCCAGAAAACCACACAAATGCTCCACTCCTAAATCCTGCAGTTTGTAGTTGGAGCTCAGGTCCAGCTCTCTAAGAAAGGAGGGGTTGGACTTCAGAGCTGACACCAGAAATCTGCAGCTGTGTTCTGACAAGCTGCAGTCCTCCAGTCTGAATAAAACAAAAGACATTTGTAAGCTCAAAAGTTTCTGCTTGAAATCGTTCAGTTTTTCATCATTCAGAGGGAGAACAGAAAATGGTTATTAAATGAAAACAACTGCAAATGAATATCTGTCAGATAAAACTAATAAGTCATTAATTTCAAATCCTTAACCATTGCTTTTTGAAAGAATTTATTGTAGATGAAGTCAGTGTTTTTTTTTTTCCATTTATATTTCTTTTTCACAAGTTGTACTAACTTGATGTTAGTATTATTATTGTTGTTGCACAATGTGTCATTTCATAGCTTTATTGTAGCTTATACACATTTCAGGAGTCTAGAAACAACAGACATCTCTTGAACAGACATCTTGTCACGGTCCCCTTGTCTCTCTGGCTGGCTCATGCTGGCTACAGGTGTTGTTGTTGTTTTTCCTCCTCCTCTCTGCCTGGGCGGAGCTCGTTACGGGCTCTCGCTCTTGGCCCACACACCCGTGTGATTGTCACCACCTGCTGCTGATCTGGCTGATTTCCCCAGCTGCTATTTAAGGCAGTGGCACAGAGTAGCTCGCCGCTGGAATGTGGAATCGCCTGAGTTTGTGCTCTTGGCTTGATCAAAAGAGCGCCTTGTGTATATTTGCCTGTGGAACTAACTGTTGTATTCTGTGTGTAGATATCTCCCTTCTGGACCAGATTGCGGACCCTGCATGAGTGGAGTTTTGGAGCAAGTGCGGCTGAAAAGGAGTGAGTAAGTGTGTGTGGAGGAGCTCTGGCGGTGACTGTGCTGAAGAGGAAGTGTGTGTGTGGATTGCCCCCTCTCCCTGGAGCCCTGGATCCAACTCACTGTATAGCACTAAAGGGTGTGTTCCCTGTTGTAAATAAAATGTCTTCTTTTGTTGGCAAAGAACTCTGTCTGCGCGTGAGTCTGTCCAGTAGTTATGACACACCTCTTGAACAAAAACATTTTTTGTTCATTTCTGGTATCTTTTGTTCATCCCACGTCTCAGTTTATTGTTCTTTTTTGTTTGCATTAATAGACCACTGTAGACTATTATTCTGGCCTAGAGTAACTAAGGTTAAGGGGTGTCCAAATTCATAGGCTGCGTCCTCCTGAGGACCCGGCCCACGTAGACCGCGAAGGCCGGTCTAAGTGGAAAGTCGGGTAGGCTGAAAATAAACGGCAGTAAAATTGGACGGTCTAGCCTTCAGATTTGCGTCACCGCTGTCTCGGTGGAGTTTAATAAACTCGGCCGTCTGCTCCTTGCTGTCTAAAATATAACAGGACACTGGGGTAAACTCTCGACCGTCTCACACTTCTGTTTAATCAGTTTTCTGTTTGACATTTATTCAGCTGTGTGAAAACCAAGGAGGAAACCACCCGGGGGATTAATAAAGGTTTATTTTATCTAATCAAATAACTTTAATCTCAGCCAAACAGATTTACTCACAAACTAATAAAACACTGAAAAAAGCCAAAATACATTTTTAGGTTGTCTAAGTGACTTATATATCCTGTTTAAACTGAGTAGTGAAAGACCGCGGTGATCTGAAAATGATGTGCCAGGAGTTTGTTGTTCTCGGTGGCTCTAGTGACCCTCAAGCTCCCAGCTAGCTATCAAGCTGGTGGGTAACAGATGTCTACGAAAACATCAGAGCACTTTTGCAAATATGTGATGTCTTGATAAACTGAGCAGATATTTTAAGTTTACACAGCCACATTCTCGACTGAAAATATGTTAAAAGTTTATTTTGTGACCCAGAAAGAGAAATAAGAGTAATATTAAAACTTAGTAGCGGCCGCCATTGTTGGAAACTGGAATTGGATGGGCCGCGCTATGAATTCTGGGATATGGTGGGCCACGAAGGACACACCTGACCCATCCTTTAAATTCGGGGAAAAGGAGGACGCATTTGTCGGCTGCATTTGGAGGAGCCAAGAATTTGGACAGCCTTCATCGTGTCGCTGTGACGTAATCGGCCTACAAATGCGGCCTCAGGAGGATGCAGCCCATGAATTTGGACACCCCCTTGTCCTCATCATCTTTGAACTCCAAACAGAGACAGATGTTGTCCAAAACTGTAGCTAGAAAGGTACAGAAAGTACATCAATGTCAACAGCATTGTCTGAATCTGATTTAAAGCATCAACATGCTACAGTGAAGATCCTCGGCTTTACCCTTATAATATTGGATTTTATGTTTCATCACAACTGTGTCTGACCTCAAAGTCTCCAGTCGACAGTGTGGGCTCTCCAGAAAACCACACAGCTGCTCTACTCCAGAATCCTGCAGATTTTTATTGCCACTTAGGTCAAGTTCTCTTAGATGACAGGGTCTGGACTTTAGAGTTGAGGCCAGATAATCACAGCTGATTTCTGACAAACCACAGTTCCCCAGTCTGGATAAAGAATAAAATAGGTACGTTTATCAGACAAAGCTTTGGGATCTTTTCGGGGCTGAAGACGTTACAAAATGTAAAAATTCAGAAAACAGAAACTTCAAACAACTCAAACCAAAAGGATGCAGGTTGAAACAGTCAAACCAAAAAAGTCTGCAGCTCCACCACTTGTTACATCTTTAGAAACTGGTTGTATTATAAATCTCCAAGTTTCCAACCTTCCGGTTGAATTTGGAAGAGAATTTACAGAATGAAACATTTTGGACAAGAGAATTAGCAAATAAACACTCATATGATGTGAGAATACAATCAAACTGTTTATTGGGGGGAAAGTGGTTTTTTTTTAGAACACTGAAGTCGAGCATTGTTTGGCACAACATTAGCTTATAGCCAGCTGTTGTTATAGCTGGCTCGTTGTCAGACGGGTGGGTATGGGAGCATTGCATTTCTTATCTAGTAAAATAAATAACTATCAGTAATAAATTAGTAAAACTAATTTTAAACTAAGTAAAATTAGGCATTTTTTTAAAGCCCTGACTTCAGTTCAGGAATTTTTAGAAGTTTTGTATTTTGTACCAGACTTTCAGTTTCTTTTGTAATTCTCAGGAATATTCCAATACAATCCTATCTGAGAATATGAGGTTTAAGAACAAAAAATGTCTAGAGGACAGTTCCTCTGTTGCAGTTGAGCTTAGTTCTGGCCTCTTTTCTTGACCATCCTTTCCATGTTTCCTTTCTTGAGAGTTCTGTGGCAATTGCGCCTCTCACAGCTGTAGCTATTATTAGCCAGCATGCCTTTTAGAAGCATAAAGGTAATGAAAATGTGCAATTATTACACATGCTGTGATTCTTACTGTGATTCAGTATAATGTCAGCCACATGTCTGCAGTTTAATGTCAGCACAGCTTTCACATATTTGTCTCAGCACAGCTAAAACATGGTGACTGACCTCAGAGTTTCAAGTCTACAGTGTGGACTCCCTAGAAAACCACACAGCTGCTTCACTCCTGAATCCAGTAGTGTGTTGTTGTGGCTCACATCAAGCTCTCTCAGATGGGAGGAGTTGGACTTAGCAAGAGCTGAGACCAGATGAGAACAGCTGATCTTTGACAACCTGCAGTTCTTTAATCTGAAAAAAGAATAAAATATATATTATTAGTTAAAGTTCTTCTTGAAATCGTTCAGTCTTTGATAACCTTGATGCAGAAGATTAGAGAGCAGAAGCCCCAAACAGCTGTTTTAATACGGAATGTTTTCTTGTTAAACATAATTTTTGGTTTTATTTAAATGTCCGATAGATTTAAATGTTAAGTGAAGTTTTTTGGATATTTACCAAGTATTATTCATAGAAGATTTTTATGGAAGGTTACCATCCTACTTATTTACCCTCATGTTCCTGAAGTCTGGCTTTGTCACAAAGTACATTTTATGAAGAGTTATGCTCCAATGTCTTATGCTAACTGTGAGTAAAAACAATGCACAATCAATCAATGTCAACTCTCTCTGAGATGGGAAAGGTCAGCAGGCAAGTTAGAACCCTTTGGCAGGCTGGATACACACTGTGAGCCACAAGTTATCAAGAGTATCATTGTTTTAACTTTTCAAATCTCAACATTGTTCTGCTGCAATAAATAATAGAAGACTATGTCCCCATAGGATGATCTGATATCCTCGTGTTGGTGTTGTTCCCACACCATCATAATAAATGTTGTTCCAGGTTCAAGTGACCAATCACATTGTTGTGACGTCCCCCTTTTGTGCCTTTGAAAAATACCACCTTAAAAAAATATAATTCACAACCGCTTCTGTCCGCCGATACAGGAACTTGATTTCTTTGAATTTCAGGATACCTTTCTTTAATGAACAGTAAGCATTATACATATTGTCCTTACAGAGGCGGTTTCTCTTCTCGCAAGTGAAGTAGATTTTTTGAAGGCGCTTGTTTTTTTCGAGGTCGCGGATAACGTCAGGAGAAGGTGATTGGTCACTTGCAATGTTGAACCTGGACAACATTATTGATGATGACGAGGGAACAACGCCAACATGAGGATATCAGATCGTCCATACACCATATGCTCCAGATGCTCAGTATGGATCAGTATAATATTAGCCCTATCATTTTAGTTTAGTGTCAGCACAATTTTCACATCATATTCATCTTGGCACAAAACTAAAACACTGTGTCTGACCTCAGAGTCTCCAGTATACAGTGTGGACTCTCCAGAAAACCACACAGCAGCTCCACACCTGAATCCTGCAGGTTCCTGTTTTCACTCAGGTCCAGATGTTTCAGATGGGAGGGTGTGGATTTAAGAGTTGAGACAAGAGCAGCACAGCTGATCTCTGATAAACTGCAGCGTTCCAATCTGAATACAATTGGAAACAAAAAACAATGTAACCAAAACCGTTGTTTGAACTTATTCAGTGTTTTGTAATATGTTCAGACATAATTATGAATAGATCATTCTAAATTGCATCTCCAATTTAGTGCAAATTTTCACATCATATTCATCTCAGCACAACTAAAACATGATGTCCAACCTCAGAGTCTCCAGTCGACAGTGTGGATTCTCCAGAAAACCACACAGCTGCTTTACTCCTGAATCCTGCATGTTGTCATTAGAGCTCAGGTCTAGTTCTCTTAGATGTGAGGGGTTGGATTTCAGCGCTGACACTAGAGAGGTACAGTTGCTCTCTGACAAACGGCAGCCTCCCAGTCTGAATAAAAACAAACATTTCATTATGCAGAACATTTTTCTGTGTAAGAAGAGGTTTAGTAAAATAAATAAATAAATAAAACCAAGACGATTCTGTCAGAAGCACTCAAACTCTCAGACAACATGTTTTTAATTTTAATAACATTATACAGGAAAAAAAAACTGTCTGAGATTTTTCTGCATTTCTGCCTTTACTGATAGGGAGGTGTGAAAAGCAGACAGGAAAGTGGGCTGAGCACGGGAGAATGACAGTGCTGCTTAGTCCAGCTGTTATATAGCTGGACTAAGCTGTTATACAGACAAAGGAGGGGTTCTTAAACTAAATAATGTTAATTCTTCAGTTTCTGTGATATGTTACAGTTTGAGAGAAGACAACTGAGTCTGATAATGAGTCTAATAATAATTTAAAAGTTTGTTAGCTTCCTTTGGAGTCTTCACACACCCACATTCTCTGTTGCCTGTTGGGGCGGGGGGGCTGGGAGGAGGAGTTGGCCGTCCGATTGGGGTCTAAAATGTGGGGCCTCCCTGCTGCTGCGGAGTCGGGGCGGTCTGCTTTTCTCCACCCCGGGGAAGAGGGTAACACTACTTGGGTCTGGGTGCAGTTTCCCCCTCCAGGGGCAAGGGTACCTAGACCTGGGGTATAGAGTACGCTTGGGGAGTGTGATTGTGTGTACAGGGTCTCTTTATGTCTGTCTCTACGTTGGGTGAGTGCTGAGTAATTGCATATGAGAGCATGAGGGTGGGAATGGATGTTTGTATCTGTGTGTGCCTGTTTGTCTGTGTCTATATGTCAGGCCGGGTATCAGACGCCACCTCTCCAGGGACATCTCAGGCCCTCCAAGGTATGGAGGCCTATCTCCCCCCACCACTTCCCCTGCCAGTGGCAGACGCCCTCAGACATCAGTGCATTGGTGGTTTTTTGTGTCCGGGGATGGACGTCCGGGTACGCACCGGCTCACTCCTGGTGGCTGCTTATCGGAGCCTGGAACCTGGGGCTCGCTCGGGCCCCTTCGGAGGTGGGGTGGCCTCAGCCTCTCTGCCTGGGGCTTGGTCACTCTGGCACAGCTGGCTGCCGGCGGAGCTCACGGGTGTGTCACTGCAACCCCCCCCCCCGGCTTCTGCTCCGGGGATGCTGAGTAACCCCTCATCTGGGGCTCTCCTCAGCTCTTTCCGGGAAAGTGGCAAGGTTGCCCCTCCATTGGTTTTCCTTGTTCTCTTGTGCTCTGAGGGCCTCTGGATGTCTGGAGCCTGGATCTCCTCCATACCTGCTTCATGCCCTGGAGGACGGGGCTATGGCCCCCCACACCCTCTAACAGATCATTACATGAAGGAACCTTTAAAATACAAGGGCGCTCATGCTCACAGGTTACACACGGTTGCTCACAGACACAAACTACACCCTTTTTACCTGCTACCTCAAAGCACACTGTGCGCTGTCGATCTTACGTGCTGCACAATAATGTTTAACATTTAGTATTTACTGTTATATTCACATAGATCATTGCGATGACGTTGTTTATTATATTGTTCTCTCTTTTGCTTGTTTTCTCTTTTTTCTTTCTCAACAGGTGATCCACGTGATTGATATATGTATTTTTTGTCTGCTTGTTTTGTTGGTTTTTGTTTTTTGCCCTTCATCACTGTTCCTCTTCCCCGCTGTTTTATAGTTATTATATATTTATAATATATTTATTATTTCATGTCAGAACAGCTTTGTATTGTAGATGATAAAGAGGATTCTGTTTTGTTGTTTTACATATCTCATAATGCTAAATAAATCCAAACCGAATGAAAAAAATTATGTCAGTGCCTTATGCTATATAAGCTAGCACAGACCATTTTAAAGAGCCAGTGGGATATGCTACATAATAAGAAGGCCACAGCAACGAGAGCTGCCTTTTTCAGCAAAGCTGAATGTTTTTCCTCATTTAGTAGCTTTTTCATGTGAAAATCATGCCTGCTTATGCCAGCTCCAACCTCTCTGTTTAAAGCATGTTGCAGTGCTCAGACTGATAGCTTCCTCAGTGGAAGAAATAAGCTAGGAGAAATACTCTGTGACTTAACCTTGATAGCTGAATTCACAGAACAGGTGTTTACTGTCTGTCCTCTTGCCTTAAATGTGCTGTTTTGCATGGCCATCTCTCCAAAGCCAAAGATATGGAGTTTACTGTTCAATTAAGATACCAACATAACATATTTTCAAACTGAAGATTAAGCCAATGGCATTTTTCGTATTTTCTTTGCTGAAAATAATCAAAATCTTTAACTATTCAAAATAGTTTTCTGTCAATCATAATTATATGAACTATACAATGAATAATTCAGTGGTTAATGTCAAACCTGTTATGCACTTAGAACTGAAAGAACAGTATACAGTTAATCAGGGAGCCCTCTCTGAATTAATAAAGTTCAGGAGCCATAGCAGGCTAAGTTGGGTCATAAGTTGAGAACAACTATTTTAGGTTTTTGCTTCAGTGAATGAACTAAACAACTAAAGAAGAGAATGGACTTTAACATGAAGATCCCCAGGGTGGATTTCGAATTTAGTGTGACCACAGCTTTCACATTATATTCATCCTAGTACAAAAAGTAAAACATGGTGATTAACCTCAGAGTCTCCAGTCTACAGTGTGGACTCTCCAGAAAACCACACAGTTGTTTCACATTTAAATCATGCAGATGGTTTTTACTCAGGTCAAGTTCTCTCAGATGGGAAGGACTGGAATCCAGAGCAGACAGCAGAGACTCACAGCTGTTAACTGACAACCAGCAGTCCTTCAATCTGAATAAAGAACAAAACATATAGACAAAATAATTTGTGATTCATTCTTATATGTTCTTATCAACAAGATTATTTCCAACAAACAATGCACGCATCCTAAATCATTCTGCTATTACCAATCACCATTCCACTTGTCTCCTTCTTAGACACAAACAGCAGGTAGGTCAGACTACCAGGACTCACTAGTTATAGATACAATACATTTACAATACATTTGAACATCTCAATGAGTACTTTCAGTCATATTTGACTTAATACTTGACTTTCTCAAATCTTTGTAGTCAGAGCCTGCTGGCTTTGTAAATGACTTGTACATCTTGTCAGTTTTAAATGAGCAGCAGTAACACAACACATATATATATGTTTGTGGTGCTGTTTAAACTTTCACATTTCTTACTCATCAAATATTTCTTCATGCACTATATACACAATATCACAACTCAAACACAGTCATCTGCGAAAGAACTCCTAACTGTACCTTTATTAGCTTTTGCATTCATCTTTCTATATTCTATTTGAGCCATGTCTCTATCTATATATTTATAAAGATGCGCAGTCTAAGCAGCCTGCCTTTATCTGCTATCATTAGATTTTCAAAAGCCTCATTCACATCCTGACTTCATCTTCACTGACTGATGGAGCACAACATGAACCTTTGGAGGCTTAAAAACTGTCCCGTCAAACATTTCAACTTCTGTCAGTGGTTAGTTAATCTCTTTTCATATCTTTAAGTTCTACTTGGAGCCAAAAGGAAAAACATATGTTTGGTCATTTAGAAAGACATAAAATTTTTAGATGCACTGAAATGTCTTCAGATTTGTGTTACGGAAAATCATGAACATTTTAAAAATGTTTAATATTATCTGAAATATACAAACAAACAAACAAACAAAAAACAGTTGAGGTCAGTGAACTGACCTCAGAGTCTTCAGCTGACAGTTTGGACTCTCCAGTCCAGCTGAGAGCAGTTTCACCCCTGAATCCTTCAGGTTGTTTTTACTCATGTCCAGCTCTGTTAGATGAGAGGGGTTAGACTTCAGAGCTGAGGCCACAACCTCACAGTGAGCGTCTGAGAGTACACAATGAGTCAGTCTGTGATTAGAGAATATATAAATGAGTTATTGTAAACGCACAAGACATATGACAACAAAACTTTCTGCCACCATAATCTAATGAACATCTGCTCTTTACATCTATGGTTCAACTCTGATCATGTTCAGGTGTTTGACACGAGACACAAGAATGATTCTGTTATTTTCTAATGATGTTTATACAAAGCAAGAGTCCAATATTGTCTAATGTTTTCAGAGTTTGCTCACTGCCAGTTAGTTCAGGAATAAATAAGGGTACATTGAATTCAACTCCCTTTCTTTTTCAGCAGATCGGTATATCATGACTGCTATTCTGATGCTGGTACTATTTATGCTTAGCTGTCTTGGTTAAATGCATAAACACTACTATCTCTCTCTAAGTACAGTGCATTTTCTTTCCACACAAAGTTGTAAATACACAGATTTCAAAGCAGGAGATAATTTAACATACACCATATTGCTAAAAGTATTCACTCATCCATCCAAATCATTGACTTCAAGTATTCCAATTACTTCCATGGCCACTAGTGATGGGATTTCCGGCTCTTTTTAGAGAACCGGCTCTTTCGGCTCGGCTCACTAAAAAGAGCCAGCTCTTTCGGCTCCGAACCGGCTCTTCAGGTTGTTTTGTTGCTTTAATTTATTTATTATTAACAATAATATAAAATTATGCACAAAAGGAATTACTAATGTAAAAAAAAGTGGTTTTATTTATATATGTTTATCTATAAATATATGCCGTGGCCCCTAGAGACAAA